AGCCAAAACCCGAAATCACGCAGCAAATTGGAGCTGCACGGAAGCAGACCGCACTTGCGAATCTGGTTCTGGCATGGATTCGTGAAATCTCTCGAAGGAAGATCTGGCTGTGAACTCTGAGAATCTCATCGAGTCTCGATGCTCTCGGCAAAACTACAAGTGATTCCCAGGGTTTTAATTTTACTGTGTCTCGGGCTCCTGTATTCTGATTCTTATCTGCCTTTTCCTGTTCGTATTTGAAGAGGAATTTCCCCCGTTCGACTTCTTAAACCCCTGCGTGTCCGCTGAGCAATCCATGGATCCTTATGAAAGTTTCCCTTTCAGGATCGACCTAATTCACAAATATGCGACACGGGTTCGGAGAGCAGAAGGAGACATTCCCCTCTAAGGAACTCCAAGTATTTCTCGCTTTGGCTGAACGAGATCGATGGGGAATTTCATATGAAATGACATCGCGATGAACCCTGCGCAAAATCAAGTCGATATCTCAACGAGTGGCGGAACTGGCCAGCAATCGGTCAGAAGTCAGGACTCGAGCTGAGCCGAGGAATTCATGCTCCTCCTGACCGATCGAGCGAAGATACTTCCCCCGCCTCCGGCGCAGCAGTGCTGAACCCCGCCGAGTGCGAGTCGACCAGTATCAACGGAAAACTCGGAGCAGGGAATTCACCGAAACCAATGATCACGTTCGGCGGGGCTGTCGCGGATTGATAGTTAAGCCAGGACTGGCGATCGTTGGGGGTCACAACCTCGATCCACCTGTACCGATCGTTTTTCGTGGAAAGTATGAGAGGAAATCCCTCCCCGGGTGAACAGGGACATAGAGTCCTCTTCGACCGCTCCCCCCCCCCAAATCTGCCTCGAATCTCGTTCCAGGTCAAAAGATTAGAGAAGCCCTATCCATTGCTCTGAACTGCGGTCTACTAACAATAATTGTAACATAATAATCACAATTATTGTGATTCGATGCGGACGAAACGCAATAGTATCGTGAAGACGAATGCCGAACGGGACGTCTTCTTTGGATAAACTTCAGGAGCCGCCCACGTCATATTAACTTCTCCCCTGGGGACCCTGGGGGAAGTTGTAGGCTCATCAGCGGACACGACAGGAGCGACATACCTAAGCATACACCTGATCTCAATTCCGACGCTGCCAGAGCAGGCAGCTGCTGGCTGCTCGACTCGAGCGAGGTGTTGACAGGTAGATGTTGGCAACTTGCTCCGTCTGTCCCAAGGTCGGGGAGCTTGGAGACGATCCGAACACGCAGCAGAGCCTCTTTACTTTGGCGTATAGACATTTTGTCAACATGTTGAAAGAACTCGAGAAAGAGAATATCGAGGTCAAAACTGTCGGGGATATCCGCGACCTCGGTTTAGTGCCTTCGACACTACGGTCGGAATCATTCGGATACACCGAGAAGGGCACATTGTGAAATATCTCGGAGCGCTCTTGCTGTCGCTCCAGAGGAGCCCGACTTGCGCGCTCCAACAAACCATCTGACAGAACACACCCAGAACTGGCGAGAGTCAAGGATAGAAAATCCGAGGGAAACGGAGCGCAAAGGCCTCCGCTATTGTTGCTGAGAGAAATCGTGAAACTTCGCGAGGGGAGTGACTTGGTTCACGAAGACGACATCGATGTATCCAGAAAAGAAATTCCATCGACGCTCAGGGGAGTCTTTGGATTTCTGAAGCCTCCGAATCACTCGACTCCGTCAATTTCAGGCTTGACGTCCGTGTCACCCTCAGTCGGCATGCGATCTGTTATTTTCTTGAGCAGCGGATGTCTTCTGGAATGGAAATTGATATTTCTCGATGCCACATCCCGTTCGCGCGAGATCCTCGAAAAGGACGAGCGTCGAAAAATGAATTCAACATCACTGGCTCGACAAATCGACGATACCGCAGACCTCGAGCTTCTGCGCAGGAATTCCGCCGGCCCTGACGTGGATCGACAACGGGCTCTGTATGAATATGACGTTCGAAGACTTAGTTTCAGCTCGTAGTCGAATCAGATCATGGAACGAAACACAGGGAACGATCCCGCGGGCCGGGAAGAAGAATACTCTGGGGCAAATAGCCTGGTCGAGAAGGAAGATGTCTACTATTTGCGGTCAGCGCTCGGCCACGGCTCGAGCTTCCGGATGATCACTTGTTCAAATATCGTAGCAGACTCGCTCCGAATTTCAGATCCGAGTCGGATCGAGCGAATTCAATAATGCTCCTTACACGAGTGAGCCGCTGTACGCCCCGAGGCGGTATCGAATCTATTTGAGATCTCTGCTCAGTGTGACTTCGGAGCTTTTCGCGGCACTTTCCGCTCGCCTGCTCTTCGCTCCCGGCAACTCCTAACAGAGGTATCAAATGCGGAGATTCAAGATCAAAACGGCGCGGCGGCGGGAATCGAAGAGTCCCTCTACCTCGATGCCGATTTTCCCGATGCTGGATGATTTGACCTGTCTTCTCCGAAGTAGCTCCTCGGGTGAGAAATGAGGCAGCACAGTCATTCATGGTTGGAGATGTAACCCAACCGGAGCGAAAAATTGAGCGGAAATAGACGAACCTCTTTCTGACAACCTATTCGATACCGAAGCCTCCGAAGGAAGAGTGAGAGTATATCGTGAAGATCATCAGAGCGTCTCGCGACCGCAACAGCGCGCTCCCATGCTCTCACGACCTTCCCTCCGTCGTCTACCCGAAAACCTCGTCGTTGCGCCTCTGTCAATTTCCTGATCGGTCGAGCTTGTCAGGTAACGTGAGGATACCATCTGCCTGGTAAATCTATGCTATCCCTCAGATGAGCTTGGCTGACTGAGTCGCAGATGAGTTAGGCTCTGTTTGGACGGGCTCTCTTCTTCGTGAGAGCGAGGGGAGACTCCCGGTTACAATTTTGTCGAGCTCATTCTAGACTGAATATCAACAAAGAGAACAATATCACGAATTTCGATAGCCTCCCCTCGAACTTCTGACTCAAATGGGACGGGCACTGGGAGCATATCATGTATAATAATGTTTTAAAAAACATATGACAGATATCACAAGCTGACAACTTTCTAGAAGACGGACTTATGAGCCTACACGAGGAGCCGAGCGCGCTCCCATCGTAGGAGATCTCATACTTTTATGGTCTATCCTTCTATCCTTCAAGTCGTTCTGAGAGGATGTGTCCTCCTCACGATATCTCAGTCAGCGATGCGATCGAGTTGGCGGCTACGGGGAAGGAACATGATCGCAAATGTTGGAAAATACATTCCTTCCCGTGACTTGGGCAACAGACATCGCCACGACTCCTCGGTCGTGCGACTCGCCGTCAACGAGAAATTTGAGCGGCCTAATTTCTCTCGGCAACGAAAGCGATTACGGGGCTATCACCGGTTACGAATCTGTCTTTCGAATCAGCCGGAGTCACGGGGGATGGGTTGAATTATTCCTCACTCACGGGGCATAGTTTTCCACGTAGAGAATCATCTCCCCACTACGCACTGACCTTCATGGCAACAGCGACTCGACGCGTGTGGGTGTTGTCTCGTACTTTCTTTTCCTCAGGTATGTCTTTAAGTCGAAATGGTTCTGCCCCTCTATTATTATTCACGGATATCCCGGCATCAATGCATCACATGCGATTCGCTTGCAGCGATTCCGAAAACTCGACCTGGGAGCAATTCCACTGCGCATGTATCCATGAAGCCTACAATCAGCAGCGTCTTGATATTGAACAATTTCCACGTCTGTATGTTTGATGACTGGGGGATCGTGACGGCAAACAATGGCACCTGGCAGAAGGGAGCACAGCCGGGCGTCGCTCGATCCTACGCTTCCTCCCTGAGACATAGCAGCGGAGGAGGGCATTGGGATCCCGGACGCTGAGGATTCTCGCCCGACATCGGAGATTCTGCTGTATTCCGGGATTGACGAGAGATTTCCAAGCAGAGACAAGCGGCGCCTCTAAGGAACTCCTTCATCCCTTGGCTTTCGAAGCCGATATCCGTAGTCGCCCACGATCCATCATCCCTCTTTGAAATTACGACAAGAGGTGGAATAGGCCAAACGAGGAGACGAGGCACAGAAAGATCTCCTGCACCGCCGGGTTCGGGCGAGCCTGGATCGCCAGAGGGATACACATGCTACTGAGAATTCAGAAGATCGGGTTGCATCTTGCCGAACACCACGCCGAGTAGCAAAGGATCCATTCTCGAATCCCGGAGAACTCAATTGAGGCGGACTCCTGTTGGGGACAGCTCGGAGCGCTGACAGAATGGGAGATTGTAGAGCTGATGCATCACCGCTGAAGCGAATAATTTAATGCTTGCAAAAAATAACGACTCTCCGCGTTCAGGCTATGAAATATCCGGCACTTACCATATTCTCACGAAATGAGCCGAGTCGATTCGGCTCCGATCCGCGCGACGTTTCACAGGAGGATCGTCCTCATCTGTTGGGAAAGAACGGTGCTGATGCGATCAGTAGTCTGCAAGCCTAGAATGCGAGGTTCAGAGTGCTTTTTCTGCAGCAAAATGTCTATATCGATTCAATGTATCTACCAGCATATCTTCAGCCAGCATATACTTGAGATTCATCAAAATATATTTACTAACTAGTATTCTAGATCGAGTTCCATATTACCTCGGCTCGACTCACCGATGACTCACCCGTTCTGATGCTCGGCGCGATCGACTCGCAAGAACCTCAACCCCGAGATGGGACGGGGGAGTCCCTCTTGGGGAATGATGAGACCCCTCGAGATCCTGGAACACCTGTCTCTTCAGGGTCCTGAAGTTTATTCGTCATGTGTCGCTTTCCTTTGTAAATAAGTTTGATCCGATGATAATCTACCCCGTTCGAGTCTACGAGTCTTTTCGACTCAGAAGTCTGCAAAATCTCCTCGTAGAGGATCTTCTTCTTCAGGTCTGGATGTCATGAATTTATCCCCCGCGACTTCAACCTCGCTCTGATCGCTGGAGTCCGCGTCTACCAGGGAGAGCTGTTCCTCTCCGAAAATCAGCTCGTACAATCGACGTTTTTGAACCAGTCATGGTTCTTCACAAATGAAGCGCCGGGCTTTATGGCTCCCAAACGGTTTGCTTGATTCTTCTCGAGAAGAGATCTGACGAGATTTTCCGCCGTTTCGCTATAGTTCGGAGATTTGAAGGTCCGAATCGACGCGTTCAGTATACTCGAAATCACCAAAGGTTTGGGGTCGTACTTCCCACAGAAAGGGAGTTCCAAGAGGAGCACTTGATGTATAATAACGCCTAAAGACCACCAATCGACGGCTTCGGTATAATAATCTCCTTTCAACATCTCCGGTGCTCGATAGAGACTCGTGCCCGCCATCCCGAATACTTGACCATCACTGCGTACACAACACCCGAAATCAGATATTTTCACGCGACCCCTCTCGAAAATCAAGATGTTGTGCGGTTTCAGGTCACGGTGGATGAGGCTGCAAGCGTGACAGTACTCGAGCGCCAGAACCACTTGAATAATGATTTTGACTGCTCGCGCTTCGGGGACGGCACCACTTCTCTTCAGCATTTTATAGAGGTCCCCGTAGCGGGCGAGCGGCATGACCAAGTATAGATTGTCAGCGTCTTTGAAGTGAGACAATAGTTCCATTACGAACGGACTATCCATATAAGCCATCAATTTTCGCTCGAGGATTATCTCCTTTTGGAGTCCGTACTTTCGGATGAAAGACTTCTTCTGTACTTTCACTGCGTAAGGACCCTGGCCGTTCGTGCTAGCTTTATAGACTGACCCGAATCCTCCACTACCAATGACGCTCAGCGCGGTGAAATTCTTGATATCTACTTCCTTGCGTTCGTTTTTATCGAACTCGGTCTGTAATCTGACTCGAGCATTCCTAATTTTCTCGTAATACTCTGCGAGCGCTAGCTCTTTTTCAGCTTCGGAGGGCATCGTTATCTTTGGAATGAGATTTCGTAAGCATGCTGATTCGGAAATACCTACATCCAGAAATCTGAGAAAGAAATGGGTGGCTAAACTCATTCATTCATTGAGATCCGTTCGACCAAGATACCTATGCTCCTCGAGATGGTCAGCTAAAGAGAGCGGACATGGTCCTGAGTGACTCGGAGCACTCCTCAGAGCCATTGCTCACCGGCGGTGATATTCCATAACACACTCATCACTCATTTAGACATCCCAATCATGAGCGATTCTGTAGCCATGTGGCCCGTGCCACGATCAACCCAAGAGCAACGAGCAACCCAAAGTTCGGGCATGAAGAGGACCCGATTGAGAAAAATAAACTCGAAGAAATTCGGAGAGGGACGGTCGTTCGTATGCATGATAATACGCGACGTGGACAAGATGGCGATGAACGAATTCACTTGACTCCACTAAGGTGGAGATCTGGTCCGGTAGAGGCCTGCAGGAGAGCTCTAGACCACCGCAGAGTCACATGAATGTTGAGACGATCCTCGATGAGGGAGCAGGCTCACGGGAAACGGAATGTCGCTCCCGCCTCATCGTATAATATTGTACTACCGATCGAAGGTAAGATCGGTCGGCCGCGGTACGGGGAACACTCAGTCCGAGGGCCCAATCAAATCACCAGATGTGGATAATTTTTCCCCTTTTGCTCCGGATGCTTCGAGAGTTTCGTGCCTAACCCTCAAGCTCACCTTGTACCGAAGTTGCAATTGAACGCAAGGGTATCAGATGATCTTTCTACGAATGTCGTCTAGCTGACTCGATGGAGGCAAACCTCTGTCTGGGAATCTCGTGGGCGCTGACAGATTGAAGCGCCAATGCGTAACCGCTGAAGGGAAGGAAGTGATGCCTGTCAAGGCGCTACCCTCCGCGCTCAGGCTTTGGGATATACGGGTCGTGTATTTTTTACGCGAAAATCAGAGCCGAGTCGAGCTCGATCAGCGAACAAGCGCTCCTTGCGTACTCCACTCCGTAGGCAGCGCGGAACGTTGACGCGACGGAGATCGTCACCATCTCGGCGAATAATACGTCGATGGACATCGCCGGTAAGCGCTCCCGTCTCCACTCCTCGGTCGTGGCCGAACGGCTGGAGCGGAATTCCCCGAGTGCGACATATCGACTCGCCCGATCTCGTATCGTCTCGGATGATGAGTCATCGGTACTGATACTTGTCGCGATTGACTTGTGAGAATCTGATCCCTGATACCCGGAGGGGCTTCCCCCTCCGAGGAATTATAATAATGCTCGGGATCCTGCCGCGTCTTTCTTTTCAGAGTCCTCAAAATTTATTCGTCATGTATCCGTCATTTTTCGGTATCAGGAGGTCGAATCCGATGGTGAGCCACATCATTCGACTCTTCAAGCTCCTCCGGCTCAGAATTCTTCCAAGTCAGCTCGTAGAGGATCTTGCGCTTCGGGTCTAGATGACATGAATTTATCTCTGGGGACCCAAACCTCGTCCACAGCGATAAGCTCCGTGTTGTCAAGGTGAAACTGTTCTTCTCCGAAAATCACGTTATACAAATCGATGTCCTTGAACCACTCATGTTTTTTTACAGCTGAAGCGCCGGGCTTCTCCGACCCCCCCAAACGATTGGAGGGCTGCTTTACGAGGAGTGACTTCACGAGATTTTCTGCCACCTCGCTAAAATTAGGTGATTTAAGGTTTCGATAGTATCCTAGAATCACATTCTTATACAGTGTAGCTTTGGCGTCCTTCTTCCCACAGAAAGGGTACTCATTGAGTAGCACTTCATGTATGACTACTCCCAGCGCCCACCAATCGACGGCTTCAGAATAATATTCCCCAAGAATCATCTCTGGTGCTCGATAGACAGTTGTACCGGTCTTTCCGATAATTTCGCCATCACAACGTGCGGAACATCCGAAATCGCCTATCTTCACGCGACCCTTATCGAAAATCAAGATATTGTGCGGTTTCAGGTCGCGGTATATTACGTTGCATGCGTGAATGTACTCGAGCGCCAAGACGACTTGAATTATAATTTTGACGGCTCGTGCTTCGGGGACGGGACCAGCTCTTTTCAGCATTCTCGAAAGATCCCCGTAGCGGGCGTACGGCACGACCAAGTATACATTGACAGCATCTTTACAGTGAGACAATAAGCTCACTACGAACGGACTGTTCATATAAGCCAAGAGTTTCCTTTCGAGTATAATGTCTTGTTGGTACTTGTACTTCCGAATGAAAGACTTCCTCTGTACCTTCACGGCGTAAGGACCTTGGCCTTGATGGAAAACTTTCAGAACTGCCCCGAATCCCCCACTTCCGATGACGCTCACCGGGGTAAAAGATTTGATATCGGCTACTCTGCGTTCGTTTCTGTCGAACCCACTCTGTAGTTCAGCGCGAGCATTTTCGAGTTTTTCGTAATACTCATCGAGCGCTTGATTTTTTTCAGCTTCGGTTGGCATCGTTATCTTTGACGAGGAACTCTATCATCACGTCGATTCGGATCTGGCAGAAGAGCAAGCCTGGTTTCCTTGGATCCTGGCAAAGGAGTTCCCCTCCGGTGAGCTCTTCCCGACCATGAATCGAAGCCGACCGTGATCGAACTGATCCGACCCTCAAAAGTAAAAAAGGACAGGGCTCCCCTCGATCTCACAATGCTGCATGGCGCTTAGTTTCGGTGCCTCTCCTCTGGATCGAGACTCCTTATTCCTCCCGTGATGTGGGCTCTTCACTCTTCACCACACCTATACGACGCTGCTATTTGTCCGCTGTGTCTTTTCTAGAGGAGTAGATTTGCATCTCCAAATACGCATTCCGAAAATGCCGGGTTACCTAGATTATTTCGGCCACTCAACGCGGATCTCCGTTGCAGGCGGCCGGCGCACAGTGGGCCAAATGGCCGGATTAGGCGGACAAAAGTCGAGCTCGAGACACCCCACATAGCGTCGGAATCTCGTCGGAACATGGGAAGACGCGGGCAACAATCCTTTCCGACTCCGCTTCGATCAAAATGAAGTGGAGAGACAGCCAAAGTCGATGATTCATACGATTCCAGAGGAGCTTGTTCCCGCGATTTTTCTCATTTGTGTTTTGTTGCTTCGAAAGAGTATCGACAAAGATATCGGAATGGAAAAAGGAACACGCCGTGAGTTGAAGTACTTCTTAAGTCCGCATTCAAGACGATATGAGAGCGGACGATCGATGTTTACGGTCTTAAATAGAGTGTTTCTTCGAAACCTAATTTCCATAGAATCAGGAGGAAGTAGATTATTCAATACGAGACATGCGCCCCGTGTCCCCTCGCTGAAATATATTTTTTTTAAAGTTCCGGCTCTAAACTTCCCACAAAAGTTGTTGAGAGACCGCGCTTCGTAGCGCTTCTCGAGTTCTAATGCCCCAAACAGGGGGATCGTAAGACCTTCGAGACTAACTTGCTGTTTTCAGGAATCGAGATTTCTGTGCCGCGGGTTCAATTTTTCCAATTTCCACTTTGGCGTCAGTGTCCGGATGACGACGGTCCAGATTCACTTATACGATGAATTTTTTCGCAATGCGTGGACAGCGTGGAAGAGTGCCATTTGATCAACCGACGAGATTTGAGGCATGAAGTCAGTCGTATTATTTCGAAGCTTCGCAAGAAGCACAAGAAATGCCGTCGAGGCCGCGATGAACTCGTTCGTTTGTTTCGTTGATACTTTAGCATCAATGAATCCGGGCAAGCATCTCATCGTTGTGATAGAAAAAGAGACAGACAGTAGTGTCTTGTTGTCTCTTTCTCGAAAAGGCGCCAGACCAGCTCCTGGCTTCCCTTTTGAGAAATTCCGAGCTCCGACCCAAGTCATCGAACACGAGAGCTAGATCATATGAGAAGTTTGTCAAGGGGGGGAGAGGGAGTATTCCATCCGCATGATTCCGTTTCACGAGCTCCGGTTCCGTGATACGCGGGGTTTGTAATGAGCGGAGCTTCGAATTCGTGTATCTCGAGCTTCGGAACATCGAATTAGACAAGCAGCGAGGGATTCGAAGTGTAAAATAATTTTTTCCACCTAATTTGGCCATTTGGCCCACTGTGCGGCGACGAACCTATGGAAGACCGCTGCCTAGTCCTATTCCCCGGGACTGACGAAGAGGAGAATATTGTGCCGTGATCTTTGTGTGGCGGGCGCTGATCTAATCAAATATTAATTAATCTGATCCAATTACCGTACATAATCTAGCAGGAGAGCTGCCTCTGGCACTGATATATAATACACACAAGCAGTCCTCTATGGACGGACAGGTTTCGGGGGAAAGATGGGACAGACGGGCGGTCTCTAATATTATAGATTGGGAGTCTCCGATGAATGGGGTGATTCAAGGGTGTGAAGAAATAGACCAGCAGTCTCTGATGAATGAGCAGCTCCTGGATTATCGATGAATAGACGGACATGCACTCCAATAAGAATATCCCCGGTATTTCCTAAAGTTCGTCCGGAAACCTTCTCTAGAGATCATGGAGGCCATGGGAAACATCAGCTCCCGTGCTGTCCTTCTACTAAGGAATCGCTTGGAATCAATTCGATCAAATAGCTTCAATCAGATACGGCATCGATCGACATCTTCGACGGTTCGCCGATAATTCGCAGTGTTCAGAATTCCTTAAATAGCTCCCGCTCTTCATCGAAAGAATCGGGCTTGGTGTTTTGGAATACGTCCGCCGAAGCAGGTTCCTCTCTGCTCTCGTGATTTCTCCGAGGATTGAGGGGGAATATCTCATCGGCGGATATAAGAGCCATGAAATCGAGGTCTTTGAACCAGTCTTGCCTCTTGACAATATCCACACCGAATTTCTCAGAGCCTAGTCTCTTCGTATGATCCTTCACGAGGAGGGCCTTGATTAGGTCTTTCGCCTCCGCACTGATGGCATCCCCCTCGGGTACCTGCAAGCGTTTCTTCAGGACGCGGTCGAAGATTGCTTTCCTCTCGATTTCGGTCGTAACAAAGGGATGGGAGTTGAGCAAGATGAGATACAATAGAATACCGCAGGCCCACCAGTCGGCCGCGCAGGTGTACAGAGCCTGGTTTATGATTTCCGGAGGCGCGTATAGGCAATTCGCCCCGAATTTGTCCCCGCAGTATTTGCCCAGGCACGCACGCTTGAAATCGGTGATTTTCAAGCGACCGCCGGGGAAGATCAGAATATTATCTGGCTTCAAATCGCGGTAAATAATGTTGCATGCGTGGATGTACTCAAGAGCCAGAACAACTTGGCCGATCATCTTGACGGCGAGAGCCTCAGGTTGGGCTCTATTCTTCAGGTATCTTCTCAAGTCCCCCCAAGGTGTGTACTCCATGATGGTGTAGACGAACATTTCGTCTTTGTCTTTAGCGAATATTCTCACGATGAACTTGCTGTTCATGGCGTACAGGAATTTCTTCTCCTGAACTATTCGCGTCGGGTCGATCATCGAGGTTTCACCCAACGGTTTCTTGAGCTGTTGTCTGATGACGCAGATTTTGCCATCTTTCCTAGCTTTGTATATGATGTTGTACTTCCCAGCAGCGGCTCTCGTCAGAATCTCGTAGCTCTTGACATCTGTTGATGGACAATCATTGGCTGCGACTCTAGCCTTGAAATTGGTTTCGGCGTGAAGAATCGAATTCCTATAGGCGAAGATTGCGTCTTCATCGCCATCGCGGGACATCGTTGTTTCAGGTGAGCGTCATGTGGTATTGAGCTTGGTGAACTTCATCGAAACCCCGAACCTAACGAACTCAGCGCCCTCGACAGGCAGCTCTTCGATTTGATGAGAGTAGGGTGAAGGGTGAGCCATTTGGGAACGACTCTGGGATTTGGGTAGAAATGAGCATCACATCTGGAACCTGAGAATCGTTTCTTTTTCAGAAATCCAGAGTGCTCCTTGGAATCGAGGACGTAGTTTGATCAAATACCGTCTGGAGTTCAGGATCCAGGGGTCACTGGATATCTGCATCATTTTTCCTATTGTCTGAGCAGGAACTCAAAAATACTCGTCTCTCGAAGGACCGTCTGAATCTGAATCTAGGTAATTTTTCGTGATGTGTCTGAAGCCCTTATGGCGAAATGATCGTATCGCTGACCCGATAGTGTCTTTCCTCTGCTTCCGATCTTTCCGGAGCACCAAATCGTCGCCAATTCTTCTTGATCTTCGATGCCGAGCAGCCCCTCGACCTTCTCGAGGAGACGAAACGGCAGTCAACCGCACAATCATGCTGAGCGTCCTTCTTCGTTCCGGGGCATCTTTTAGAAGACTCCAGGATCAAGGGATAGATATCACGAAATCACGTCGAGCTGTCGGTGCGTTCTTTGGGGACTCGAGTGTGCGGAATACCACCTGTTCGCCAGCCCGGCCAGGGAAGACTTCGACTGGTCCGAAGCTTGATCGATTTCCATCGTTACGTGCTCACTCACAAATATTCTTAGGACTATCTCAAAATAAAACTGGTAACAATACTGGTAACAAAATACTTATCAATCAAATGAAGACATTACCCGACGCGTTATTTGAACTTTTCTTGTGTCCAGTAGTCGGGTGCTCTCCCCAGCGCGAAGACGCTTCCAAGACCGTATTAGTGATCGAACGAATCATGTTCTCCTCCTTTGCGAGTTCCACGAGTCTTGGGACCCCTTCGTAGATTCGATTCGGGAATTTCAATGCTGCCCCCCAAATCTTGGGGATAAAGGTAAGCGAGCGTCTTTGGAGGTTGGTTCCCGTTGTGCTCCTCGCTCTTATTCTTCATGGTCGATCTCGTCGAAGCAGAAGCGCCCGTAGAAGTCGTCAACGGAATCGAGCCTCGAGGGTCTTCAGGCCCATGATCTAGCATGGTACATACCCATTCCCATCCACATATTGCGGACCTCCCCCCCCGGGCTCCGAGCCTCAGAATTCCATTGACCCAGGAGGACGCAAGCCAGTTGCGACTTATTCTCACCATTCGAGTCTGGATTCGAAATTCTTGTCTGCAGGCTCGCTCCTCATAGGCGAGTCATTCGGGAGCCTTTTGACGCAAATCTCTGCTGTGCGAGGATTAAAGGACTACAGCCCGCGTCTTGAGGTTTCGATTCCGGGACCTGCAGCACCTTGAGAAATTAGTTCTGAAGAGAGGCGACAACTCTAAGGCGGTGAATGATCCTAGCACTGAGCCAGATCGCTCGAGCTAGTCAGAGAAGCTCCGGAAGGGAACTCCGGACGGAAACGTGTCGTATAGTTTGTCGAGCATATGGATAGATTGTACTCGTCATCCGTGTCCCGAGAGCTGCAACTTCGTTCTGCCGCGAACCTCTGGAGCTTGCGCGCGTATTTTCGCGCTGCTTGTCTGGAGTGCTTGCCCCAAGGTCCGGAAGCCAATCCCTTCCCGGTGCCACGGGAGGAAGATGTTTGAGACACCGATCTGATTGATTCCGGATGGCGACCTTCCTCCGATCAAACCCGTTGGCGAATGTGTTTTTCCGAATTGACCCACTCCACGAGGAGCAGAACGAAAATCGATTCGGACGGAAGACTCTACCGCTTTCAAGCTCTATCGTATTTTCGCACATCTGGTCGTTCAGTCGTTCGTTCGGGAGCCAAGAAGACTCTCGCGAAGAAGAACTCTCGCGACACCTTTCAGTAGAATGCACGATTCCTTGGAAGCAGGCGGGGATCGTTACGTTGACAACGAAGGGTCTCGCCGGGCTGGTTCCCGCGCGTGACGACTCGCGCTCCGAGAGACCGGCACGGCGGACGAGTCACTCGCGCCCGACTGGACCGCTTCCGAATGTGGACACATAGGGACTATGGCAAGGATCCCCTGTATCTTTTCCTCGTAGCGAACACTTTTTCTGACCTCTCCCCATGGACTCTTCGCGACTCAGATGTCTCTCGATACTGTCTCTACTGCTCGACCTTACCTCTTATTCGCTCTGATTGTTTTTTGCTCTCGGCGAAGCGCAGCACGGCGGTATCGTCGACGTCGTTGGGGTGGACTCCGTGAGGAGCCTCGATGGACTAAGGAAGAGATAACGGTTCTGATAGAATGAAGAGGTATTGTCAATTTTTTGTGATTCACCGCAGCTCTTTCGGGGGTTCCCATCGCCTTCATTGTACCGGGACCATCGCGATGCGAGGGAAACATGAGGGTTTCGGAGGCCCTCATCCTCTCGGACGAATAAATAATGACGAGGAAGCCCAAAATCTCGCAGATATCCCAGCCTACTTCCGATCCGCGTTTTCCGATCTCCGGGCTTCGGAGCATAGATTCCCTGCCCGGGAAATCCCCGTCCTTCCACGATGGCCCGATACTCATTCCCTCGACGAGACACGTAACGAAAAGAGCGCCTCCGTGCAGACATGCGGGCTCCCGGGAGCCTGATTTCGGACTGCTTATGTTTTCTGCAATATCCAACCCCCGACTCCAATTATCCACGGGGCACGAGAAGATCTCGGCGGAGGGGGGGAGGGGGGGGTGCCCGTCGATTTCCAGTTCTGAACTGATTTCATCGCTGGGAGGTAGGGCTGAGTGAAGATATATTAGGGCACCCTGCGTCAAACCAACAGGATTCGCTGCCCTATCGCATGGACACCGCATGGAGAAATCAGGGTTCATTCACGGAGAGATCCAGGAGCGTGAGTCCCTTCATCAACTCGAATGAAACGAGGTATTTGCGGCATGATCTCCGACGCGAACCTATGAAGCCCATGCAAAGCATCCCCCCTTGGACCTGGCTGCTGGATGGCCACGCCAAGCGAAGACCAAGTGTGCTCTCTATTCGCTTGCATTGCGAGAGCCTCCGATGCCCAGAACTCGGGGATGGTGCTATCTGGGCTCTTTCGAGAGAAGAATTTGGGATCTTGACGAGGAGGCATTTCTTTGACTCCTCTTGATGCCGTCATCGGATGTGATGACCGAATAGTCACATGAAATTATTCCATGGCAACGATGCCGGAACCTCAAGAACTCCATCACCGCCTGCGACCTTACTTTCCTCTCCCGCCGACAACTTCGAAGAGCCGGGTCGATGCGGTTGCCCTGAAGTTCGTGGGTGAGCTTGCCTTTCCCGGTGGCGACAATTCAGAGCTGGAAGGCAAAGAGACACGCGACGTGGCCGCCCTCAACTTCGAGGGAGCGGTCGACCTCAGATCCAAAGAAATGTGCTCTCTCTCCCATAGGGTACGGAAAGATGCTCGAATCAATTGGGAGGAATAGAGTGGCCGGCCGGACAAGTCCCGACAAGGACAGACGTCGCCGATTGAATCGAATTCCTCATCTGCCGTTGTCGTCGAGCAACGCCGCAGAGCTATCTCGCATTTTAGTATTGTTACTACGCAACCGAAGTCCCGACTGCTCGATCCGGCAACCCGTGGAGGCCGAACAGATAATTCATCGGATGATACGAGCCGAGATGCCGGAGCAGACAGCGATTAGAGACCAACTCCGGAGGCGTTGGATTTGGCGCCTCGTGTTTCGAGTCTCTTCGCAAACGAGGGTATGGACTAAGCTAGAGCTGAGATAAGACGCCGATAACTCGATATCTTCGGCGGAATGCCATTAGGCAGCTTGAGCACGTATGGGATCGGCCGAGCGACCCGCGTGGGAACTTCATCGCCGATTCTTCGATAGCGGGGAGTACCATCGACCTCCAATACAGTTCTCTCGCCAGAGCGAATTTTCCGAATATTCTGCTCCGGTCGACACGGGAGCGCTACTGTGCTCATACGGCTCCACATCGGATTCTGGAAAGTCTATCTAACATTGAACGGGAATCCAACAAATGAGTAGCGGAGGAACCGCTAGTTTAATATCGAAACTCCTCCCGTGGCTTGCGTTCTTACACGCTTCCCTCCAGTGATCCTCGGTCGGCGTCTCGATCCGCTTGGAGATTGTAGGTGCTCGGCCGTAAGATGTCCCCCGCTCAGCCAATCTCCGGAGCAGACTTGCGTCTTTGGAACAGGCCCGAAGTTTGGAGAGTTAGCCAGAGCGCGGTGAAACTTTCCACCGAAAGTTCCCCAGAGGATACGCTTCGCTCACGTCCTTCATGAATGAGTCATTCTATCTAGATTTGCGTCCCTCGAGCAAGCATACAGTAGCTGGGAATTGAAGCTCATAGTGGTCCTGGCGCCATCAAACTCCGCGACCATAACTTTTCGTGCTTCCGGTCTCCGCAGCCTCATGAGATGAGGTGTACAGAATGCCCGATCACGGGAAATAGCCTTCCTCGCAGCTGCAAACTGGGAATATGAATTATGGAGGATCAACAAGGGAGCCACATGATTGCTTCGCATTTCACTGTGTGACCTCGTAGCTCGTAGCAACGAGACGCCTTGAAGTGAATTTCCAGTACGACGAACTTTTTTTCCTGTCCGTTAGCTGGCTTGCCTTAGACATAAAACGGAAACGAACAGATTCGATTGGTCCCGTGAGATTCGCTGAAACGAGATTCTACGGTATGTCTGTACCTACAAGCAGGACAGCTCTGTTTCACTTCATTGATCAAAACGTTCACTGGGTTTATTTTCGATTCGACATCATGGCATTGAAATGATATTATCATTATCATCAATGATCCAATTACAGTCAATGAGCGATAATCACAACTGATGGAATATATTGATCCGAATTAGAAGTTTTCCCTTCAACTCTTACAATTTCATCAAATCCGTCGAGTCAGAAACGTGATCACGATCATGGACACTATTATCAGTCGTTATTCTTTACCTCCTTCGTCAGTTCACCACTTGCCTATTTATGTATTGTATGTATCCTCCTGGATATTTGTTTCTCACGATGTATCACGTTTACCTCAAGACTGCCCGCAGCGATTCAGCAAATTCCCGGGAATTCGTTTCCCAGGTCTTTCTCTTCTTTTTCTACTTCTCGCATCTGTCGATGCTCACATTTCCATGTCCTCCTGTGAGTAGATGGAAATTCTGGAAACGACGCCGGTTTCCTAGTGTGGCGAAGACCGGATGTTTGCCTCGGATGACGCGTAGTATTCTCCGGTCATTTTTTCCGTCGTGTCCCTCTGCTTGAGAGAATTCTCTATCGGCATAGTTTCTGCTTATCGTTGTCTCTTCGTTTTTTTTGGATGATGATTATTAGTCTTATTGCAGCGGATGTTGTTGTTAACCTTGAGACTCTAGAAGCGACATGGGAACGGGATACTTGGTTTTCACACAAGGAATACGGCTCCTGTCATCGAGGGCTTACGGCTCTAGAAGAGCTGGGTATAGGAATCGGGGAAGGGAGCAGGTGAGTTTTCTCCCCTATGAAACAGGTCCGGGCTTAGGTCCTTGATCTCTGGAGAGGATCTCGCGACTCGAACCAGAAAACCCGGACAGGGGGAGGGGCAGTTCGGGGGAGGGTGACGGCCGAAGGGCGACTCTATGGCACTACACGCGTGACGGAGTGGACTTGTCCGACGTGAAGCTTGCTGGGCTTCTGTCCTGACCGCCCAGAGCAATATTTACAGCGCCCTCTTGGCTGAGAGGAAATAAACTATGTGACTTATAGGAACATGGGAATAGTTTTGCACTGGGTACGCACGGATATATTCGCAAAAACGATCAACTGCGGCGTGCGAATCGGCGCGTCGAGCTCCGTATCGAGTCCTAGTCCGACCGCGGCCGTGGCGCCGGGTCGTTCGAAATTCCCCGTGAAGGAACAACTCATGACCCTGTGTGAGGGTCCAAGTGGAGAATGAATTAGGCTAAGGGGATCGAAGACCAGGAGTGCGGGGAGCTCGATGCCTCGATATCGAATCCATGGGGGTTGTGACAACTGACTTTAAATCGTGAGACAATTGTGATTATGTATCATGGCGTGGTACTGTAATTGTAGGCGGGTGGTAGGTACTGCTTAACATTGTGATTTAGGTAAACCGAGTGAGGTACAGCAGCCTGTTTTTTTTCTCGTGATGACTTTCGTTCTTCCTTCCAAAATAGGACTGACATTGCCATTGAATCGAAAGATGTCGATGCTCCGGAATATTACATAACATCGATCGGTCGTAACTAAGGATCACTTGAACAAGGCTTCAACTCAGAAACCGTCGAGGGCAAAATTCACCCACAGCTCGGAACTGGATCCGCGCGTCGAAAACCCACAAACACCTGAGGTACAAGGACACAGTGAACGGGCCGCCTCGCAACACTTTTGATTCGGTTTTCGATGATCGAATGAAACCCCCTCACCAACATCTTCTTCCAAACTAGATAATCCCCGACCCTGACCATTTATGGCAATTTTCATCCGCTCTATTAAATTATCAGTAAGAGCCGCTCTCCGCTCGGGTGATGATGAACATAGGTCCCATTTACAGAGGCTTCAGACCCGAGTGAAATCGATAAATACAACGCGAATGGTGCACACATTCGACCCGAGTTCGTCGGAGCCCGGATAAAAATTGAGGTTAATTGTCCTGACTCATCCGAACGCCTCAATGTACGGCTGATAATACGGAGAGCGAAACTCAGAAGTACAGTCCTTCAGAGGGTAAATAATATTAATATCAACAGAGACCCCGTCCGGATGAAGGCGACGCAAAAACAGATATCTGAATCAGCGACTTGACGGCCAACAGAAGAAATACAAGATGTACACGCGACACGTACGTCAAACTGAGGACGTGCTATTGTGGTGAGGAGAAATAAGCCCGGGAGTGGCTGCATGTGCTTCACGGATGTTAATTACGACGAGGTCGACGTGTTCGTTGATATTGCAGTGGTTTCTTGGGAGGAAACGACCACTTCCAATCCTAAGTTCCTAAGTGCCTCCGTTCCCGCCTCCTTCTTTCCGACCGCCATCGCTGCTTCCCGCCGAAGGGACAGAGAACTAATCGATTGCTCGGAGCTATCGAATCGTATCCTTTGTGAGAATCCCCCGAGAGCGAGACACACAGTCTGAGGGATATTCTCGAGAGGGAAAATACTCCGAGATATTTGGAGAGGACACGACAATGATCGGAGACGGTCGAGAAATTGTTCGATATCCTCGGCGGGACGTCGAGCATGCTCTAAAGAGAGAGGGGAGCGGGGAGAGGGAAATCGTGGGTCACTCGGACAGCGACGATGGCGGCGGACTAATCAGACGGAGGCTTCGACCCATTAACGCACGCGAACTGCCTTAGGCGATCGACTCCTGTAGCGAGTCGAGGTATTCGGCAAGTTTCTCCCTGTTGTTATTGTATTGCCGTTCGAGGCGCCGCCAGTTGAGGGTATCGTTACTTCCTGGCTGACGGTGCGGAGGCACGGGTGGAGGTTCCAATTCGTCTTCACCCAACTCGTCGATGGGGTTTACGATGATGCTTCGAGACGCACTGCTGCTGCTGCTGCCACCACCGCTGCCGGTTCTGCCCACGACGGCCGGGGCGGGGATGATGCCGCTAGCGCAGCTGGCGGCACTTGGTGAACCGGCCGAAAACCGGGCCGAGCCGAGCTCTTCGACTTCGGCCAGCAGGTTCGAGCGCACAGTAACTTCGTTGACGGATTCCGAACCGGGCGATTGGACGAGCCCACTATCGGTGGACGGGGAAGCCTTGTCCGTGCCTTCCGCGCCGCTACCGAAGATCTGGTTGAACGAGAGTGAATCGACAGCGGGGTTGCGGGCGGCGTGTCCCCCCAGAACGTGGTGATTCATGTCGATGTTCGTGTGATCGTTATTGTTATCTGCGGGAACGTTATTGTTGCGAACGTCGATCGGCTCGCTGGGCAGCGGACGAGCCCTGCCAGGCAGCACGATGCGGCTCTCCTGACGTAGATTACCGCCCGCGTTATTGCTGTTGCCGATGTTGCGAGCGAGGTCTCCGTTCTGGCAGATGTTGGCGCCGAAGCCATCGCTGCACACGAAACTGCCGAGATTCCTGGACGTTTCCAGGTCGCCCATGGGATTGACGACGATGTTCGCGAACTTGGAGACGTTCTTCGGCCGAACGGCCTGTTCGAGGGTTTCTTTGGAGAGCCAGACCCAGTCCTGAGAGTTATCTTTTGTGTTTTGCTGACGCGTGTTCTTGATGTGCACGGCGAAAACACTGCACGAAGCCACGAATGCGAGGAGCGCCATACAGAAAACGCCGAACAGGGTGTAGAGACCCACTTGGAGCGGACCTCCGTTCAAATGGTTCAGGTGATGGTTCACCAGTGGATAGTGCGGGTTCTTATGGCTTTGCGGCTGCAATTCGAATGTGACGGCGGCGCTGTATTTACGGGGAACTTGAGCGTCCTGGTACAGGTAGTTATCGGGATTGCTGGGCATGCAGGATACGTAGACAGCAGCGTCCTGGATGGCTCCTCCTCGCTTGACGCACAGGTCGCTCGTTTCGAGCGTGATCGAGAGCAGGTCTCCCGATCCCTGACCTACGCAAATGATACGGGGATGAGCGCCGGTGTTGCCGATCTGGTTCGGAGCGACAACGACGACGTTCGAATCGAGCGTTTCGACCGTGATGTTGTATTCGGTCGGACTGAAATTCTCCAACGGCATCTCGGTGCCGTCGGAGAAGCGCAGGGTCACGTCGAGAACGGCTTCCTGATAACGGGAAGTCATTTTCTCATCCGTGGAGACTTTCGCGACGTAGATGGCTCGTTCAGAATGGCTGCTCTCCCTATTGTTGTTTGTGTTCTCGACGTCTGAAACCACGGCGAGGTTCAGGCCCGAGACGACTCGAGCGTTCAGCGACGTAATGACTTCTTTCTCGGCCGTTACTCGGAGGGATTTCGTGGCGAGGATTTTCCCGGTCGTGGGCGCGACGACCTGGATGTCTGCCTTTCCGGGATGCACTCCGCTGAGAATGTTCGGTGCGACGAAGGAAGCGACGTGAGAGTTCGAGCTGCGGATATGCACCATATCGGTGATGTCAGCGACGAGACGTCTCTTTCCCAGCAGATAATTCTCCCGGCCGGAGTTGTGGTTGATAGAGACGAAGCGGGTGTAGACCTTGACGATGCTCTGTTGGAAGCGTAGTTTGCACTCATCCTTGGGTATGGCGTTCCGATGCCAGTTGTGCGGCGTGCTCGGAGGAGCGTGCCACTGTTTTACGTGGCTGAGCTTCTCGTCCGAGACGCTGATCGTGAACGGGGTCTCGGGCGTCCACACGGTGAAATAGCTCTCGCTCATGTGGCCCGAGTACTTGACGTGGATGGAAACGTTGGCCGATGAGCGGCTCTCCGAACCGTCCAAGTAGATCGACGTACACGACGGAGACACTTTGAGTACGGACTCGTCGCTAGAATGACATGATGCTTTGTGAGTGACGTCGCTCATCTGACCCGCCTCCGAAATCATAATCAGCTTCACGAGCTGCGAAACCTGACTTCCCGTGATGATGGCGGTGTTGATGAGGTCGCGACTCCGCGTTATGACCAGGATGTTCTGCACCTTGTCTTTCTGAATGTTCAGCTGGGAAACGGCCTGAATCTTCTCGTCGATTACCCACTCGATCGCCTGCTCGGTCGACATCAGCACATCGGGGTCCGTATCGACTCGGAACAGGATGTCGAAAACGTGTTCCGCCTGTCCCGTCATCGAGGCCAGCGGCGAGTCGTCGATGCGGCTGCATGTGATGCGAATTTTCTGGTTGCCCGTCGTCTCGATGGCGAGCTTCCAGACGTGCTTCGCCACGGGCTCGAGTCGTTCGACGTGTAGTCCGCCTACGATGTTCGCCCCGATCACGAACTGCCGCACGTTCTGCTTGACGAACACGGGAGCGTAGATGACGTTTTTCGGGTAGAGCGGATTCTCCGGAAGGAACACCTCGACCGGCGAGTCCTTCATGGTGATTTTCTCGTAGGTGGCGTGCACGGGACTGAGCGGAATTCGGGCGATGTGCTTCGGGGACGATTCCTTCGCAGCGTCGGATTTGAGCTCGGAGTTGAGCCCGCCCATCTGACAGTTGAGGTCGTCCGAGGTGGCGTACGTCAACTCGATGTGGGGCTTGCTTTTTTTGCTTTTGTGGGACGAGCCGCCAGCGCCGTTCTCGAGCCACGCGTTCGGCCACCAATCTGCAGGGACGATGAGTTCGGCCATGCAGGCGGAATTCTCTTTTACGGGTTGACATTTCGCGAGCAGAGGCGCTTTCTTCGAGTCCACAAGATGACCGTAGAGCGTGATGCAGAGCGGCCGGAAATCCCGCTGGTTCGCGTGGAAAACCACGCGGACCTGGGGATTATGTCGGTAGACGATGCTGTGGACTGCGTGCGCGGAAAGCTCAGCGTCCGAACGGTTATGATAGACCGTCTGACTAGACTGGTAGGGGCCCAACGTAGCCCTGACGGTGGCCCGATTCGACGAGATCAGCGCGAACCTGACGAGACTTGCGTCTACGGTATCGTTCGGCACCGTCGACAGCAGGATCTCGCCCTGATCCACCTGCACTTTCTGGGAGGCCGTAAAAGCGGCCGTGAGGCTCGCTACGACCACGGATACGAGGAGAGAATTCATTCTAGGGCTTTCGTCGACGACGACGCTGATTCCTTGACGGCTGGGAAACCTATCGATCTATCGATGGGTCGGTCGGTCGGACGACCAGTCAGCCTGACGATCACAGTTCACTGGAAATCCATGAAGGCCTTCAGTAGTCGGAGGCCAGGTAGACGTCACCGGTGGCTGCGCCGCACTGCGCAGCAAGCCTTAAGCTCTTTCCTCACAGGAGCACTCGGGCTAGTCACGATGCAGCAGTTCCTGAAACACCCAAAGTTCAAGGGGTTACAACGACGTTCCTTGATGGCTCGCGAGTCGTTCACCACAACCACCAGTAGTCACTAGAGACCCAGACTGCTATGGGCTCGACAACGACGACGACAACGACAAGTCACAGTGTGGCCATATTGGCTGACCCGCTCTCCAGTGGGCGCTGGAACCCCGAGTCTGCAGCATTGTAGTCAGCGGAGAAAGGCGGCGAGAGTCGAGAGGAAGGGATGGAGTGCGATCTGTCCCTACGGCCATCTTCTATGGACGAGCCTCAGCTGCCAACAAACACCGGCTCGGAACAGCGAGCCGCTAAGCGCTAAGCGTTCGCTTAACGAGTCGCACCGCTGACGCATCGCAGCTAGTCGGAGGATACGGATATCCGAAAAATACGCCCGGAGGATACTCACGATCGATCGTTCATCGGCCCGCGACAGGTTCACGCTCTTGGTAATCTGAGGCAAACCCAGCGAAAATGGCGTCGAGGGTTCCGAGTCGTCAAGGGTTCAGACCGCCGATCCCGGGACCGGCTCTTTCGCCCCCACGAGCGCAGCCGCAGCAGACTTGCGCTTCTTGCAGTTGCTGGTGCCGCTGCTTCCGCCTCACAACGGAACTGGGACGGATTCTTCGCTCAAGCTACGGCTGCGGAACAACGACTTCCAGCTTGCTTGGCGGCTCGGCATGACTTTCAGTCTGACGTCGAGTATCGATCGCGCTGCTCATCGGGGAGTTCGAATCGGATATCATGCGTAGTATCGCAAAGATTCCTTCGATCGAATAACGCCCTGTCGCGAACAATTCCTCTTCTCGCTCGACATCGTTAATTCGCTCGAGCACCTTGGAGACCGTCCAAGCGGTAAATTGACCTGCGTGTCTGGACTCCAGTAGAAGGAGAATGCTTTCAAGGGAAAAAGAAAGCCGCGCCCAGGAACATTGCATTAGCGACGAGGCGGGGCGAGGGGGGAGAAAATAAGTCTGATTTACGAGGAATTTCAGGGAAACGGACGAGGGTGGGGTGGGGAACGGAGAAACACCGGCTTTCGGGGATATGAACTACGGAAAGGGCATTCAGGGTTTGGATACATGTGACTCATCGAATTGACTCCCGAGCCTTTGGTCGCGCTCGTCTAATGTGCTACTCGTTATCTGGATATCCACTAGGAATTCCCTGAGGTTTTGCAAAGATCGAGGGGAGACTTGTCTGGCTAGTACATATGTCGCATGAACGAGCATCGAGCCAAGGGACTGCCGTACTTGAAATTAAATAATTTTTGCCGTACAGGGAACGGAGTGAAGGAATGAATGGAACGAGGTCTCTTGCGGGACGGGAGGAACAGGCTCTGACCCGGCCGAATTCTGAATCTTTCCTTCCGAGTTGCTCTGGCCTCGTCAGCTCCGGGGTAGGAGGGCTGGAGGGCAAACGCTGGGTTGAGGAATGGGGAACGATCATGATTTCCCGATCGAATAGATCTATCCACTGAATATCGAATGTTCACGTCTAGTTCTGAAATTGGCCGGACCGGTGAGGTCAAGCCGGAGCACTGCGGAGCAATAAAAAAATTCGGTTCTTACACCGAATCGAGACCCGATCCCTGATTGAGACTTTGTCCTTGCGGACGATTGTCGCCTAATCGACCGACCGACAACGATGGAGCTGGTCACGAAACCTTTACTCCCTTAATTTCTGATCGGTCACCCTCCTCGAATTCCTGCTGAGCTTGGAAGACCGTGCGTGGCTGTTTTGATCATTCGAGTTTCCATACTCTCAGCGGCTTCAAGCTCCCCTCGGATAGCCATCGTGTCAGCATGAGTTGCCAAGCTCATAAATAAATTATTAGATTTCGATGCCTCGAGGAAAGGATCAGGATCAGGAACAACATCACGTTCCTTCAAAAGTGAATTTGTTGAAGTCTCTCCAGCTATCCTCTCCCGCAGGGTTATGTTCTCTAGGAAGGAATTGTTACGAAAACAGTCTGATCTCGGATCTCCGACCCTCTTTGATTCCACTTTTCCCAGCCGAAAATAAAGGTATCAACCGGCTCCACGCAGGTTTTTCTCTTTCGGACACTTTCTGATTCGCTCAAGTTCCTGGACCAAATTAATGGTGCACCCGAAAGATCGAGACAGGATCGGAGCACGCGCTCACGAAATGGCTCAATAAGTCAGCCGGAGCTCAAAGGACCTGCTTCTGGTCGCGTCTACAATCTTATCCTCCTTCCACCAACTCCTAGTACTCCCTGCTGGCCGCGAATCGACACGGCAAAGTGGGATCCAGCGGTTCTGAACCCCTTGGGAAATTCGTTGCTAACTGAAAGAGTCAGCCGGTCGAGATGTACGACCTCCGAGAGAAGACGAGAGAGGGAGAGGGGGCGTCCCTCTGCTGCAGAACTGCAATCGCTGTGTCGTTTAGTTCTTGACACAAGTTCGCTCCACTTCGAATAAGCAGACAAGTTCGATGTCGAAGACCTCAAACGTAACGGAGGAACGTTCCCGTGTCAACGATTTGTCATTCATAGATGAGTCCAAAACTGTTAATGAATAATGATCAAAGGGGAATGGAAAATAACTCGCGAAAGTCTATGCGGTTTCGCCGCACGGAATCTCCTCATAACTATAGGTTCGGATCATTTTCAAGCTCATCGATCCAGCAACATCGGCTTCGTCGGATCTCTACTTTGGTTTTTGTGGTTTTTCCGTTACCCTTCGGAGCTCGAAGCGGAGCCCGCTCAGGAGCATCTCACGGCCGAACGACACGGAAAGCTCCTCTCTCCTGGGGAATCTATGATCGAAACACGCAATGACTCCCAAGCGACCGCGAAGTTCACGGAAATCAGACGCTCGACGGCTTTGGGGAGGCTCAACGATGTACGTGGTAGCGAACTTTCACTAAACCAGCGAAAGCTTTGCGACTTCCTAGCCTTGCCTTTGTCCTCCATCAGCTCAGCTTCGCTACGTCGCTGGGGCTTCATCTCTCGTTCGATGTTCGCTGCCGGAGCATTTATTCATTCACAGTAGTTCTCTACTCGAATATTCGCGATTTGTTTATCCAATAGCGTCAGAGAAAGACTCGGAGTGAGTATACTCCCATTAGATGAGATGCCCAATCAGCGATCCTGGAATCCAACGAAGCTCCTCACATTATACCACTAGATAAGTGCTTTCTTGTTTGGAAGTTGTCCCCGCAGGTAGAGGGCAATTCTTGACCGTCGAAATAGGATCTGGGCTGCTCGGAGAGAAGGGAGAAACATAAAAAATCTAGCTCCGTAAGCCTCCGTCGCCCGAGGCTATTGACGCAGTCTGTGCTCTTAATCGCTAGATGCTTGTCTGGGAGCGAGATATAATTTCTCGCCGTGGACGAGAGAAGGAAAATATGGCTCTGGGCTTCGGGGGTAGAGCCGGATTCCATATCTCCTATTTTTCTCTGCGGGCGATTTCCGCGAGGAGCGGAATCGGTGCGCAGTCCTAGGCTATGGATGCGAGAGCCCTGAGCTCCAAGGAAGCATCTCTGACAGCCCGTGGAGGAGGCACGGCGGCGATCGATCATTTCGGTCCCAAGGGATTTCATCTGAATTCAATCTAGGAACGGTTTCATCAGAGGCGGGTATATTAAAGCCCGGTGTCCTTGATTAAGCCTTGTACCACGTTCATTGTTCAGATCATGTCGTAAGACATATTGGAGCGACTTCGGTCGGAGATTGTGCCAGAGTTTTTTCAGGCTCGGACGAGCGGATGAACAGCTTATTCGCCGAACGCGTGTTGACTCACTTTGTTATTCCCGGGGAGGTTCCTTCTCAGCACCCACGCTCTGAAGATCCCGCAGCCGGAAGAGAACAAGGGGTTGCATTGTTAGCGAGATACAAAATGGAAAAGCGACCACAAGCGAAAACGTGTCAGGTCGTCACTCTCAAAAGCTCCCTCCATCTTCTTTCTATATGAGAGTTCTTCCGGCCTCGAACAGAAAAAAGGATGAGGATCGGGAACGAAAGATTTCCCCGCTTCAGGCCGGAGGTGACAGGCGATTCTGCGGCTAAATGATCCAGGGAAGTCGAAATTCTGACATCCTCTGAGTGAATGTAGTGGCTCACATCTTATCTCATTATCTGCTGCTTTCGTCTCGAGTCTCGATGGTTCCCTTTTTTCTTTCGGAGTCAAGCCTCTCGCGCCATCGAGTATGAAGACGATCCGTAGGATTCATCGATCTATGCCCCGAATGTGGACCATCTGATTCACATACTTTAGACAGAAAGACGCTGCTCTGCTTCACAAAGAGAAGTATTCGCAGTCGAGCGATTCTATTCACCGGCAGAGCTGATGCTCAGGGTGACTTCGTCACAGCTGTCAAATGAACGTCACCACAAAATTAAGCTCATTATCAAGTCCTCCAGGGAAGACGCAGCTCGAGGAGACGCGCGAGCAACAATAATGGCTTGAAGCCTCACTGCAGATGTCGTCATAGACAAGTTTTCAACCTGTTCCGAATCCGTAGTCACATCCTGAGAGCATCGGGAATCACTTCACGTGCCTTAGCATGGGCATCAGCTCGCAGAAAAACCAACCGACTGAGGTGGAGTCCTATGTCCCACGAGGTATTGAGGACAATTTTTAGCCGTGGTTTGATACCGACCAAAGAAACCCGGTTCGTCCGCCTGTCAATGAATTCCGGGAAGGCTTCATTCTCTGCGACGTATCCCCGTGAAAATTCGTTTTTCAGAGGTGATCGCCGTGGAAATATCTTTTTTTTATCACCGATGCCG